ACCCCTTACATCTTGCACTGATCAATTAGCCAGTTTTTGAGATAATATATACATAGGTGTAAAACACCATAGGTGCGTTTTAGTAAAAGTCACTTATGCTTACAAAAATACTATTAATTTAAAACTACTATAGCTTCATTACACGTAAATTAGACAAAATAAAATTTTAAACAAGTAATCATTCTTTAATTAAACTAATTTACATTAAAGTTGTAATAGATTCTTTTTATATTAGCTTCTTTTTTTTTTTTAACATAATACTGGGTATACGTAACTCACTGTAATAACTTCTTGAGCTTTTTATTAATGTCGTGGACAGTGCCGTTATAGCCAGGTTACGTATAATTTTACCTTCTCTGGGAAAACTCAAAGACGGAGTATTATAGAAAAAGCTATCAATAAGTGATTTCGGTGAAGTAAGCTGAGTTTATGAATTATTATTTATAATTAATAAATCATACTTCGTTGAAGTGATGTCAATTATTAAATTGTAGTTGTCAGTATTTAGATATTTTGTCTAAGAATCCAAGAATATTCAATAATTCATATAATATTATCAGTTATTTAGTACATACGTACGTACGTATATAAAAACCGAATATACTGCATATAGATAGTTATTGGATACGAAGCAGCCAATAGTTTGTAATTCATTATTGTTACCTGGCTGTGAAATTCGCTACTAGATAAACAAGTTATTGGCTGCGTAGCATACAATAACGGTGTTATCCGGACGTCAGTGATTATGTACGTAAGCTGCCAAATAACGAAGAGATGACGTAATCACTGCCAAAATAACTTGACAGCACTATCATAGTGAGCTGACGGATAATAAATATTTTACCAGAATCTTTTATATACGGTATGACAATAACCATGACCTTAATATAGAATACGATTTCATTATTTATTACTATATAATAATAAAAATATATATAGCAGAAATGTGTATTAATCGAAACTTAGAGTGTAGTGTTTTGCATTTTTAGAGCGAGTTTAACGTGGGCGTTTTACTTATACGTAGAATTTTAATTTCTACTAGCCGGAATAATCGAAAAACCTTAAATGTTTCTAAAATAAAACGAAATAGGTTCATTGCGAAACATCAAAGGCTGACGATTTAACGTTATATGGTTTCTAAAGCATCCGTTAAATTTAAACCCAGCATACTTAATCAACTAGTTAATAAAGTTATAACGCGGCTTCAGATCGTGGAGTTACGTACGTACGTAAAAGCGGGCTATTAAAGTTTAGTTAAAATTTGATATAAATTAATATATATATACTGTAATATATATATATAATATATCAGATATACGTATAGTATTCTATACCATTAAGTTACTAATCGTCGGTGAACAATGCTGAACATCCATTCGCATGTAAGTGCATTGATTAGTATAAATTGGTAAGGTCTAAATTCAAAGTTTGCAAAAAAGGATAAAATCAACGTTGGATGAATATTTTTTATGGATATATAGTATATAACGACATGAATATTTTAATTGGTTTTTGAACATCATGTTTCAAGAGTATGAGCTCAAACAACAATATTAGTAATAATTCTTAATTTTACATACTCTTACTGAATTTAAGTTCTACATTCTTTTATCAGATCTCAGAGCTAGCGTGTAAAGTTCGATTTTCTTATCGTTATAGTTTAATAAACATATATGCTTATTTACTACGTACGTATATTACTAATTTTATATAATTTTAAAAAAGAATTAAGGAATTAATCGGATACCTGATTTCCCCCGAATAGATAAACTTGTAACCTCGAAAAATCCGATAATGGGTCACCAATAATGATGACAAATATCGATACTGCATTACTTGGTACACTACATTTAACTACAGCTACTTTCATAATATATATTTGTCTCGTGATATTATTTAATTCTATTTTTATATCATCGGAACCAGATCAATCCAATTCCGGTATGTTACACGGTTTAACTCGAACCTAACTTTTATTTTAATCCTTTTCCATAATTATTCCTATTATCAATCCCTTATTCTTCTTACCTGTCAACTTTTTTTTCTATTTAACTAACTTCTAATTATAAATTATTTTTATTGAATTGGAATACGATGTTGATGTCTGAAAATTCTTCCGGAAATAATGGACATTTAACGAATAATAATAATCAAAACATTAATATCGGACCTATTAATAATAGAGTTGACGTTAATGATCATGCGGATTATTATGATGTTGTAATTCGTGTTGGTGAATCACCAGATGTAAAAAAATTTCAAGCGAACTCAAGGATGTTGAGTTCAAGATGTTCTTATTTTCGAACAGCTTTATCGAGCAGTTGGGCAAGAAAAGAGAATGATGTTTATATCATTGAAAAACCAAATATTTCTCCAAAAGTTTTTGAAATTGTTTTAGGGTAATAATTTTTGTTTTCTATCCTTAACTTTTTTTATGATCTTTATTATAATTTATTCTAATATTTCAAAATTTTATTTAATTTACTTAATCTAGATATATTTCTAATGCGACTGTAAATTGGAAAATGTTAGAAGGTGCCGATTTTCTTGGAATTTGGTTGGCTGCTGAAGAATTTATGCTTGACGATTTAGGTAGACAGGTTCGGGATTTATTCGAAAAAAAATCGGAGCGTCTGAGACCAAATTTTATTCAAATCTTTAAATTAGTTTATCAAAACGAAACATTAGAAAGGTTTCGGACTCACTGTGTGGATATAATTAATACAACAACTTGGCTTCAAGATGCTTCAATGCTTGAATCTTTGGATGAATCAATTTTTTATAGTTTGTTTAACGATGAGGATCATTTTGTTCATGATGGTATCATTTGGAATATATTGATTCAATGGGCTTGTGCTCAAACGCCAAAGTTGGACGCTCTTAGACCTGATCAATGGTCCGAAAAAGATTTTGAAACGTTAAAATCAAGAATTGGTCATTTCATACCTTCCATAAGATTTTCCTTAATCTCTAGAAACGATTTCTACGAAAATGTATTACCATATAAATCGATTCTACCTATTGATACTACAAGTAATACGGCCCTAACATTCTATTATCTTTCGGATGAAAATGGAAATTCCAGGTCGAATGAACTTAAGCCGTTCTCTTTGGAAGATTCGAAGGTTGTGAATCATACTCATATTGCAATGATCGCAAGATGGATTGATGCAAGTCGTGAAGGAAATTTTGGTTCTTCGACAGCTGATAGCATACGTTCATTTGATGCTGGCAGTAATTATACTCTCGAAGAAACTTCATCGACTGAAGAGCAAGAGTCTAGTGCTGCTGACTCAAAAAATACAAAATCTGATGAAAAGGGTACCAAGATTTGGAAGATTCGACGAATTCTATCTTTTCGTAAAGGGAAACGTTCCCCTAATAACGATTTAAGAAAGAATAATAATAATAAACAAAATACTCCTTCGGATAAAAATGTTCCCAACAAGGAGAACAACGTCTCAATAGCTTCTTCATCTCCCATCCTTTATCCTTCCACCTCTTCAATGTATCACTTTAAATTAATTTACAGAGGCAGCCGTGATGGTTTTGACGTTTCATCATATAATTCAAAATGTAAAGGAAAGGGTCCGACGGTGGTTGTGGCATCGTTAAGTCATCATCGACTCATCGTTGGCGGATACTATCCCATTAGTCCTGTAGACGATTATCCTTATTCTGTATTTATAGGAGCTGTTGACAGTTTTATATTTTCTTTTGGCGAAGGAGATAACGCGGAAGAAGATTCCACAATTAGTCGTGTTTTGAAAGAGCATGCACATGAAGCAATTTGTCGAACGGTATACGGACCAGGGTTTGGTGAAAGTGATCTTATTATTAAACTTGGACCAAACAATGTAAAGAATGGCGTTTGTAAGCAAAAATTTTATGAAAGAAAAATTATAGATGTTACAGATTTTGCTTTTGATGAAATCGAAGTTTTTCAAGTTATTAAAGAAGAATTTAAAAAATAATTTGTAAAGAAAAAAAAACTGAGGCTTTATATATTTGTATTTTCGAATATTTTATGATAGATATGAAGAAGTAAGGGGTTGTAGTGTGATTTTCTCTGTAAATGTACATAAACATATGATTTTCTCAATTCGTAGACTCTCAGTTAATCACTTACATTAATGTTAATACTTTTGTATTTTTTTATAATACAAGAATTTTGGAATTTTACTCATCGAAGCTTGACACTTGGTTGCTTAATTGCGCCGATTATTAATATTCAAGAATGTATTTTGAGATATTAATAACATTTTCATGTTCTTATTATTTCAGAATCTTGATTAAAGAGCACGTCGAATGGAAGTAAGAAAAGGTAACATCAACAAAATATCTGACCCATATGTATTTATTTATTTGTTTATTATTGGATATGTTAAATGCGTAAGAGATATAAAATATATATAGGTCAGACCCAAATTTTCAAAGGATCGGAACAATACTAAAAATTTTCGGTCAAACATGAACCACTAAAATTATACCCATTATATATAAATTCAAGATATGGTAGGAGGTTGTTTTTCTGCTTGATGGGTATGTAAGGATATTGGCAAGCATCGATATCGGGGAAAAAATAAAAAGGTGTTCCGCTACGAACAAATTTGATAATACCGCAATCCAAATTTTTGAGAGTTCACTATAATGAGAATAATATTTTATTTTAGACCACCGAGTCCTTTATCGCGGTGATCCTTTTCTTTTTTAAAAAATTATTGTGGTTTGCAAAATTTACTGATCATCGAAAAAAAAAGAAATCGCACCAATTTCTGATTTCTTACTACTCCTAAATTTTAAGAAATCAGAAATCGTTAAAATGGAGCTATTGAAAAATATTTACCGTATTGTCACGAAATAATACACATGGGCGTTATTTAAAAATGGCCTGAATTAAGCTTAATTTAGGCCAAAATTTGAAATTACACCCCTCTGCGTTATTTCGCGACAATACGGTATTCAAAAAAAAAATTCAACTTTGCACTTTGGTAGATGCATAATCACGTGAACAGGTAGTATAAATCGCATGAATGACAGGTGTCCGTAGAAGACTGGGAATGTCTAAAGTAAAGTGGATTTCTTTTATATCTTTATTTATTTTTTATTTATTTTTTTATTAATGTTAATGTCATATATAGAAAAGTGAATAACTTTTACAGAGTATCACATGAATACATAATAGTTAATCAGATAGATTTTCTATAAACATCAAAATTGATGTGACATTACACCTCCAATTTTCTATTTTTAAAGCTAATTTAGGTTAACAAAACTGCTATTAGCTAAAGAAAGGCTGGGAGAAAACCTTGTTTAATATAAGATAGTAAGATATGTATATATTTAGATTGAAAAAGTTGTAATATGGCTAAAAGAATATTGTAAAAAATGTAATAATAATAATAAAGTTAGAAAAAAATAAAAAATAGAAATAAGAATAAAAAAATAAAAATAAATAAAGATAAAAATAAGAATAAAAATAGTAAGAGATGAGAGAAGAGGTAAAGATTGAATTTATAGCTCTGCAGTGCTATATATTTAAGCTATAATATATAAAAGTTATATAAAAAAGTTATAAAAATAATAATTAAAGTGAGTAAAGAAAAAATATATGTCCAAGTTATAGTAGATAATGCTACCTTGGTGCACCGGGCCTAACATACTACCAGAAGGTTTGAATGTACAGCCTTGCAGTGCAATACGCCTTAACCACTGTACTACAACCGTCAAGATAGTGAAAATCATTTTTGATGTTTTTTGAACATTTGTTTTGGGTAAGATCTACCAATCAGATTGCTTAATTTAACCATGTGTTAGTTGTCGGAGAATTTTGTGTTGTACGGCATATATATTTAAGGTTTTGTGTTTAGAGTTGGTTTGTACTTCAAGTAAAGATGAGTCGACGAAGTTATTTTAGAGCACACTTAAAAAGAAGTTTTAAAAGAAGTTTGCCTCCAAGA